GATTTGTGGCTACGGCATTGTTGTTATGACGTGCCAGCTGGTGCTTATGCTTTGGTCAAGTGTGTGGTGTGCCACTCAGCCGGTCACTTCAGAGCTATAAGGGCAAACACATTGATGCACTTTGCAAGCCTGCACCTTCAACACAGACATACTCACTGTCACGTGTCAGTGTCTCATTTGTTCCATCAAGAATGAATGCGTGATGCAAGTAGGGGTGGAGGGGGAAGAATTTGTGGTACACCTTCCACAATACCACAAATTCACCACATAGGAGTTGTTCAGCTATGCATTCCCCTCCGCCCATAGCACGCATGGGAATGACGTGTTTGCGAAGAAGATGCGTGGAATTGTTGGATGTGGTTCGACGCGGTCCTGATGGATTCCCAGCTGTACACAACATCTCACCAAGCATCAATGTCCAGCACTCAAACGCCACTTCCTTGTAGCTCTAGCAGGCACCGAGAAACATCTCACATCCTGCCTCCTTCATTTCGAGCCACATGCACCGCCACACGTTCACCGCTGAAAGGCATGCAAGATGGAGGAGTGTCCAATGACTACCTGTGCCATGGGAATCCTCAATTGCATTGCAGATGTGCAGGTTACTTTGTCATATGGTGAAATATAAATTGGCAAAGTGCTATTTGCCGATGTGGACACATTAGCCTACAATGAGCAGGCACAGCATTTCTTAAACGCCGTACACATGGCGGACATGCTACTGATGACAAAGCAGAGGATGGCTTGGCTTCCTCTCTTGCTTTACGGAGCAACGGTGAGCTGATGATGAGTCGACCGCCTCACCAAATGGATGTGCATACACCAATGCCTCGATAACAGCGCCCATTTGAAACCTGACATTCATTTCGCAAGGGGATGTCTCATGTTTGTAACTACGATACTTTGCCTTCACTACGACTTCTACTGACGCTGTAGAGCAGCCGCAGGTACAGCTGCCTCTACAATGCGTTCATTACCACCGCACAACCGAGTTCACGCATACATCGTGGAATGAAGCGACTTGATTGCTGGACGTGATTG